ATTTCTTTCGTGTACTGCCGAAATCAGCGCTTCCATTGCTATTGCTTGCCGGACGACAACTGCGGTAAAAATCAAACTGTTCGTTATTTCAAACGGTGCGTGCGGTGCGCCTGCGTCGCATCGTACGTATCGCACGTGTCACGTGCTCAATTTGGACAAGTCCATTTAATACAACCAGATTGATCGTGAACGTCTACCGTATTCCACGCATCGCACCGCACGCACCGTCGTGCCCGCCTTCACCTTGGACATGGCGTAAGACAGACATGCATGCCTTGCGTGGGACTCCAACCCACGATCCTAGCGTTGAAGCGGGCGAAAACATTTTATGCCTTAGACCGCGCGGCCACTGCGATCGGCGCTACAGTCTCATTAATTGCGACACTTCGATTTCGTGGGAGGGATAGGCGCGTTATGTTTAAGATAAAGCCTCCACATTTCCCCACAAATATGCATGACCACACGGGGTGTATATCGAAAATTATTGTATTTAGGCTATTTAACGATGACTGACAGGTCATCAGGCCACGTAAGGCGAAATGACAATACGAATACGACCAGCAAAGGGGAATGGGACAGTCGTGGTATATTTTAATGTTTTTATCTATATAGTGTGCCATAATATACATGAAAAACTCTTGTGACGACAGTTCATGTAGATTTGTGTTACGATGAGGTTCTCACAGTGGTGATTATGAACAGTGCTATCTTCTGGGATACAACGCCGTTTGGTTCGCTGAAAGAGAACCGTTGTTTCGCAGGTAAATTTCGCCTCAATCTTCATTGCTACAGAGTAGGAAAGCAGGCAACAAGCACAGTGCGTGCTCCCAGCGATGCTAACTTTAACGCCAGCCCCCAGATATGCGTTATACACGTACAAGTCACTATGACCACGACTGGAACCTGTGGCTAGCTATCACATGTAATTAAAACATTCCACAAGGGTGCCCGGCTGTAGCAGCCTAGTGCTGATAACTGTATTGTATGTGAATAAAAGGGAGAAAGTGTGAACATAATGTGAATGACTGCAGTGTCCGAACATTACAAATAGTTAATATTTCAACATGGGCCGCCTCTGTGGTCTAGTGGTCCGAGTTCCTAGCTACAGATCCAGAGGTCCCACGTTCGATTCCCGGCGCTACCAGATTTTCTGAGAATTAGTGGGTCTGGAACGGGATCCACTCAGCCCCGTGAGGATAACTGAGGAGCGATTTCAAGGAAACATCGGCTCCGGTCCAGAAAACCGAAATTAATGGCCGTGAGGATTCGCTGCGCTGACCACGCGACACCCTCTATCCGCTAAAGTTGGAACTAACTTCGCCGACAAGCGGCGGTCGCTCGGTCGGTATAGTTCGCTTGCGGACTAGACGCTACGGAATTTTAATATTTCAACATATATTTCGGTTTCGACGTCGAATTTTGACAGGGCTCGGAGAAATTTGGGAGGGGGGGAATGTGCACTGAATGTCGCATTAGTACATTGTAAACGGGAAGTCCGCGGTTATAACATCGACTCTCTTGAGTTAAAGCCGTTCGTGGATTACCTCATTCTCTTCACACAACTGTGAGGATTATCTTAAAACAGATCACAGACGCTCCTTCCGTATCCTTTGCATTATTCACAACAATCCTGTCATTCTAAGCTCAGAACCTATGCAGCTGATACCACGTATCCCCTGCTAATAGACGATTCGATCCATCGACACTCCCACGATATCTTCAGATACCCAAACGATGGTCGATCCCCATTCAATCGACGTTCGCCAAGTAATCGCACAAGGCCGCGCCATAGCTCAAGCGGTTAGTCGCTGGCTTCCTATCGCGGCGGCTCGGGTTCGATCCCGGGTCTGGTCAAGTAGGATTTATGGTGGGCAAAGTGGCACTGGGGCAGGTTTTCTCCGAGTACTTCGGTTTCCTGCCAATCTTCATTCCACCAATTGCTCCACAATCACCCTCCCCTATCATCTGGGGCTGGTACAATAGACCAGAAGTGGCCGCAGTACAAGGGACTTGCAATAAAGAAATAAAAGTAATCGAACACTGGCGAACCTGACAAGCTCAGTCATGTCTGCCAACCATTCTGGCAGTGCTGTTCTGGAGTCTTACCAACGTTCACTGTTCATAATCACATTTCGCAACGTTTCGAATAAATTTATTGGAATTACGGTTCAAGGTTAAGCAAATGTTAAAACTGAGTTCGTTAACCAACGAATCGCTAATCAACAATCATTCGTGGAACCAATTAACGTCGATTAATAACTGCATAGCGTCCTTTAACACACCATGAAACCCATACGAAGGGCCGCATTAACCACATGGAGTCATGCAACAGGCCTATTTTTGAAACAAACAACCCGGAAATCTTCCTTTTGTATGATTTCAGGTTCTCACAGCGGTAGTTATGAAGAGTTATATCTTTTGCTGAAAGGCAACTGACGTTTCGGAGGAACAAGCAGCCTCCATCTTCAGGGTTGAAGAGTAAGCCAATTACAAAATAGCAATAGAAATATACATTAGATTTTGATACAAGGAAATTTAATTCTATTTATTATTTAGGAATAATTTCAATATAATTACCTAAAGTCAAATATCTTACAGTTTTAAAAAGCAAGAGAATGCCATTTTTGACAAGTATCAAACAGCTTTTCAATATGTAAAAAGAGAGATTACACAAGAAATTATGTCAGAAATAGAAAAACATTGAATTTCCTGCAGCCTGCTAATTTATGTCTGCGTGAGACTTCTTGTCTTCTGATCTGTTGGAAAATTGTCTTTACAAAAAATATTTCTACTAAAATGTTAATATTGATTTTAATATCAATTAGCTCTAAAAGTTGAGGGGCCGCACTTTGTGGCTATGGGGGCCGCATGTTTGACACGGCTGGTCTAGAATAACCTCATGTTGATATGGCGTCATCGGGAAGTCTGGAGGAAATAGTTACGCCACAATGCGACCTGGTTATCACGTTCTCAAGTGAAAGTTATCGTGTCTGAAACGTTTTCGTTTCTTTGTTTCCGGACCGGAGGAAGGAATATCGCTGAATTCAAAACTGCATGATGAGCATTCAGCGAAGTTTGACCTTGTGTAAATTAACTAACATACCACCACCACCACCACTACTACTACTACTACTACCACTACTACTACTACTCTACTACTACTACTATTCTTCTACGACCTTGAAGGAGTGGCCTGTTCCAATTCTGAATGACTTCCGATATTTGAATCGCCACTCGAGCGAACCGGGATAGCGTAGTCAATATAGCGACTGGCTACGGGCTGGACGACTGAGGGACCGAAATTTGAGTTTCGGTAGGGTTAAGAATTTTCTCTTCTTCACGTCGTCCAGACCGGCTCTGGGACCCACCCAATCTCCTATCCAATGGGTACCGGGAGCTCTTCCCACGGGGGTAAAGTGGCAGAGGCGTGAAGCTGACCACTCACCTCCAGCTAGTGCCGACAACAAGAAAATGTGGATATATACATCCACTCCTCCATAAAACTTCATTGTGTACTGCTTAATTAGTTAAGCACAGGGACAACTTTACTTTTTCCTTGAATCGACACTCATTTTCGTTAAAACAGTTAAAGAATTGGTTATAAATATTCGTTTCCATATAGAGTACTATGGACGGGCTCGCTCTGGCTTTATATACAGTGCATAAAGAATGCCAGCAAACAAAGTCTACAATGAAACGCCCTGATTTTGAAGATGTTTTAAAAATAGGCAAATGTTTATTTTCGTGTATTAAGTGTCTCCTGCTTACTACAGGAGTTCAAATTCCCGCCCAAATTTTTAGGCTCCCTCACGGGCCACCGTTGGGGTGCTGTTGTCATTTCACGCAAATATGGCGTCAGCTCAGGGGAAGGCGCGAGTTCTATGGTTTTCTGAGTTTAAGCCAACTGTGAGGGTGTAAAGGGAGTTTCGTCGCGTTTATCAGAAAGCAGCACCAGATGCAAAGAGGATCAAAGCATGGCACAAGTTTCTGGAGACTGGGATCGACTTGAAAGGGCATGGTGGAGGACGATAACGTTCATATGGCGTTCATCCGAAGTCCAAGGAAGTCAATTGGTCGGGTTTCACAGGAACTGCAGATGCCACGAGCAACTGTGCATAAGGCTCTCCGAAAGATGTGTCTCTGTGCGTACAAGGTGCAGATTCTGCAGGAGCTGAAACCAGAGAACCCAAGGCGACACAATTTTTCCTGTAACATGCTTGACCGAATCGGAAGAGGCCCCAAATTTCAGATAAAAATCATGTTTTCCAACGAGGCCACTTTTCCTGTCTCTGGTGTAATAAGGCATAACGTTCGGATATGGGAATCACAGCAACCGCATAGTCATGGAGCATGCGCACAGCCCGAAAGTGAACCTTTTGTGTGGCGTCATGTGATGCATGATCATCGGACCGTTTTTTTTTTTTTTATTTTTTTGCGGAGAAGACTATCTCAGGTAGCTGATGCCTGGACATGCTGCAGCTCTACGACTGTCCTCAGGTGCAACACCTGAAGCCAAATGTCTCTCTTCAACAAGACAGAGCTCCACCTCACTGGTCGCTAGACTTGCGGCGAGCTCTGAATGCAACATTTCCAGGCCGTTGGATAGGGCGAGATGGTCCAACAGATTGGCCTCCACGTTCTCCTGACATCACGCCGTTGGATTTCCTTTTGTGGGGCTACGTGAAGGACAGAATTTACGCCACTAAAGTGCGAGACTTCGAGACGTTCGGGCCCGGATGGTGGAAGCTGTCAGTAGAATCACTCCGCACATGTTACAGCAGACCTGGCGGAACTCGATTAGGGACTGGATACCCGACGTTGTCACAAACGGTGCTCATGTACAAGTGTATTGATTTTTTAAATTAAACTTTCTGTGTTGTGTAACTAATATTTGTCAACAACTAGGTCATATCTCTATTCCTCATTTCCTGAGAACACGATCAAATCAGGGCGTTTCATTACAGACACCTTGTACACAGAGTCCATAGAAGATAACTTACATGTTGCTGCTGCTGCTGCTGAGAATCTCGTTTCTCCTTGTAGAGGCAGAGAATGTGGCCCCGGAGAACTGCCCATACCTGCTTCCAGGATCTATCACCCGCCCGCTGGAAGAGAACACATAGCTAAAAGTTCCGCCCTGAGATACAAGCAGCTGCTCCAGAACGTTGGTAACAATGTTCCCATCACTGCTGCCCTACATGCAAATAAATCTACGATATTTACAAAGAAATATACCCACCTCCCTGCAGTATAAAGTTATGTTGTGACGATTTGGACAAGAGAGCCTACAAGCACTGCCTCTTCTAACGCAACGTTAACCTCACGCATATCTTGTGCACTATGGTTTCACAAACAAGACTGACGCCCGCACCATGATTTTGTGGTAAGGACTATGCCACTATTGTAATTTCCGTTAAGCTACACAATACAATTTACATTTTGGTTTTGTTTCATTAATGAGTTAAGAGATCCAAATAACTGGCAAGCTTCCGATACACCAATTCTGGGAACATAGACAAATACGATAGGATTCAAAATCAACGAAAAGCAAATCTGCATTCTCGAATGTTCCATTCACAATTAACTAACTCCATTCAGCTTAGTCCACCTTGAGAAGCCACCAGTTGCTCAGCTATTCAAGAATGTCCTAACAATTTATGGAACCTGAAGATTCATTACTGTGTTCATAAGAGCCCGCCACTGGTCCCTATCCTGAGCCACATGAATCCAGTCCATCCTATTTATCTCAGATATGTTTTAATAGCATCCTCCCACCTACATGTAGAGCTCCTTAATGGTCTATTTCATTCTGCTTTCCCTCCGAAACGCCGCATGAAATCATCTCTCCCATGCGTGCTACATGCCCTGCCCATCTCATCACACTGGACCTGACCATTCTAATTATATTTGAATAAATTTAACTGCAGTCATGGGATCGGATATACGTAGATGTAAAGGTAAACCTATTCCTGTAACAGGATGTGGAGGCCCGTAGGGTTGTGAGACGTCGAGGATCCCACATTTTTCAGACAATCGGCTCATGGATGGCGGTGAGGTTGTCAGCCTTACGTGCCGGCCGAACGTTATCCCAGGAAGATTCCTGGTACTCGTTTCTGTTAGAGGTTGAGTCGACCCTAGGGCCATATTGCGGCTGGAAAGATTAGGTCAAACTGAAAAATTCAATGATTTCATCGGGAATCGGACCCGCGACCTTCCGGTTTGTAGCATATGGCGGCTGGAAGGATTAGGTGAACTGAAAAATTCAATGACCTCATCGGGAATCGGACCCGCGACCTTCCGGTTTACAGCATAGTGCCTCAACCAACTACGCTAGCGCGTGCTCCCTATATGTAGATGTACGATGTACATAATGCAAATTCATGCTTTTTTTTTCCTTGGACATCTAACTCATCATCCAGTTTATCGGTACCATTTTACTTATTCAACATTAATTAGCTTCGGCATTAAATGTCAGTCAATTTCCACAGCATCCACCTCGTTCTCGGTTATACGGTGCGAAAATCCTCTGACAGACACATGATTAACAAACGCTCACTAATAACAAGACGTTCGAACTGCGGTGCCAAAACCCTGACGACGTTAACAGTCACTACGAACAAGACGAGGCTCATCATCCATCCCAACAGCTGGTTCAATCACGATGAGAAATTCGTCGACAGTAAAAATAATTAAAAAAGAAACGAAAATTAATATATTTCATCATGCGCATTACAATACTGATTTCGAAATAAAATGAATTACCTTGCCATCCACAAGCGTTATCTTGCAGTGCAGCCATCCTTCTCGTACAAGATTCTCCTTGTTGCACTCTGGTCGGAGGGTTTCGACAGTACTGGGTTCGGTTCCAATGACGCTACTGTGAACAAAATAAAAAACAAACTTGTTCACGTCAACACAAGCGTCTTCACTGCTAACCCCCCAAGGCAAAAAAGTAACATAGAAAGGATTTAGCTAAAAGTTTATAACAACATTTAGTAGATCACACAAAAACACATCCGCCAACGAAATCTAGAGTTATGTTTATTGACAAAGAGGTCCCTCTAAGTACACAGGTATATTCTAGTTCGTGAAATATACTGCAGTAAATGTTATATTGGCCGGTCACGGTAGCCGAGCGATCTAAGGCATGTACTGTCTTCGCTCGCTTGGAAACCGGGATCGTGGGTCCGAATCTCACTCAGGGCATGGATATTTAGTTTGTGTGTGTGCGCGTTTTTCTGTGTTTGCGTACAGGTAGAGGCCTTGCGACGAGCCGATCAACCGCCCAAGGAGTCCTACCGAACGTGTAGGATCTAGAAAAACCGAAGTGGATGGAGAAGTTCATGGAGGTAGGGCTAGGCCCACTGGGGCTGTAGTGCCAAGGGAAAAAAATGTTACATTGACTAGGCTACAGGTTGGGTGGCCGGAGACTCAGAACTCAATTGCTGGCGAAAGCAAAGATTGTTCTCTTCACCACTGTGTCACGACCAGCTTTGCGGACCACGCTGCCTCCTCTTCAATATGTACCGGTGGCTCTGTCTCTGTATATATAGCGACCGGGGAGTGAAGCTGAGCAATCATACCCACCTAGCACGGAGATTCAAAGCTACATGGTCCCGTACTTAAACCGTCGTTAAATTAATCATCAACGAAACAGTAAGTTCTGAAAAGAATTAATCGGCTATTTTCATTTCGCTACATATTGATTAATTCATAAGACACGGACAGGATACGGGGGCACGCGATAGCGTACTTGGTTGGGGCAGTATGCTACAAGCCGCAAGGTCGCGGGTTCTATTCCCGATGAGATCACTGGATTTTTCAATTGACCTAATCATTCCAGCCGCGTTATGGTCTTGGGCTCGACTCAGCCTCTTAACAAAAATGAGTACCAAGAACGTTCCTGGGGAGTAAAGGACGGCCAGCGCGTGAGGCTGACAAACTCGCCGCCATCTGTGAGCTGACTATCTAGAAAATGTGGAAGCCTCAACGTCTCCCAGCTGTATGGGACTCAGCGACTTATTACAGGGATAACTTTAAAACACCGCGTGCAATTCCTCTTTTGTTGCCGCGGAAATGTGTTTATCGAGCCACTGCCTAGCTCACAGACACACACATAGCAAGATGATGGCATCATCTTCCTTTCATTTTTTTTTTCAAAATAAGCAAAGTGGGCTACATACACAGGTTCACCCACAGCTATCTGAATATCTGGAGGCTGTCTCTTCCATCCCGTTCACAACGTAATATACACTTGGGAGGTAATGACTGCTGAATAACTTGTAAACTTGAAAGCCTTGCATACCCAGGTATCTACCTTTCAATTGAAATACTCGTAACCAATGGGGATCAGTTACAGGAGGTATGGACTCTACTTCAGCCGATCACAATGGCCACGAGGTCTAAGGCATGAACTGTCTTCGCCCGCTGAAACACTGGGGTCGTGGGTTCAAATCCCACTCGAGGCATGAATGTTTGTGTTTATTCCGTGTTTCTGTTGTCCTGTGTATGTAGCGGCCTTGCGGTGGGCTGATCCCCCGCCCAAGAAGTCCTACCGTCTAACATTAAGAGACTGTAAAACAGGGGTCAAAGTTCATCATGGACTGAACAGGTCGCAGGTTATTATGGGCTCTATTTCATATTTCGTCCAAACACAGATTTTCCTAAACTACTTATCACTTCCCGGACTAAAGACAAAGGTAAGCGGCCTCCGTAGTCTAGAGGTAACGTTCCCACCTCATGACTCGTGGTACGCGGGTTCAAATACTCGGCGGAGGTCGTGGAATTTTTAAGGGCGGAAAAATTCAGGGAACAAGTCCTCCGGGAGGGACTTTAAGCCGTGGGTCCCGTGTCGTAGCTTTACGGCACGTAAAAGAACCTCATGTCTCCAAAGGAGGCCACTGAGCAAAATTACGGACGTTTCCCGCCCAACAGTAGTCTCTAATACCTCTGGTAGATGGGGGAAGCATTATAGATACCTCTCAGCTAGTAGAGCCGGTCTCGCTGGCTGGGCGGAACTGATGGTAAGCACCAGTACCGGTAGGATATAGAAACTGGTAGAATATCATAGAGGGAAGCACAATGGACCAAGACAGGTCTAAGTGCATGTGGAAACCCACCCTCTCCAATAACTAACTAACTAAAGACAAAGGTACAGTAAAGTACTGTAACAGGCTACGGAGGCCCATAGGGTTGTGAGACGTTGAGGGTCCCACATTATCTACCCGATCGGCTCACAGATGGCGGTAAGGTTGTCAGCCTTACGCGCCGGTCGCGCTTTACGCCTCAGGAAGATTCCTGGTACTAATTTCTGTTAGAGTTGAAAAATCCGATGATTTCATCAGGATTCGAACCCGCGACTTTCCGGCTTGTAGCATAGTTCCTCAACCAACTATGCTACCACGTGCCCCCAACAGTACATTACTGAAAAGCAGAATTAAAAACAAATTACCTCAAGCAAGCACGAGCATCCGCGTCATTAAAAAGTATGGCATTTCCTTCCATAAAATGAATGTAAGGTCGTTACCACCAGGACATCATATCATTCAGATTTCACTGCGAACCTAGATGTGCTAAGCAAAATTCTTCATGGGTGCAATGTTTACAACCGAGAAAGTCACCAATCTACAAGCTCTCTGACATCCAATTTGTGTGCATGATGCAATAGCACCTTTCATTAAAATATTACGGAGAGAAGGCGTACTTTCAGACAATTTCCCTTAGCTTTCACGGACTGGGCCTGTCGGCCTGTTATAATTCGTAATTAAATCCGAAAGTAGCAATCTTCTAGACGCTTTGATAGGATTTATTAGACGGGAAACCGACCCATCATAAGTCCTCTCTACGTACACAGTAAAACACGGCGCACACAGTCGCGGATATATGAGGGAGAGTCAGTAAACAGGTCACAGATGGATACAAAACGTAATACATGTTATACTCGAGCCCTGAAAAAACATTTATTTCTCGACATGTCCTACACCAACATTGATACACGTGACCCATCGCTTTACCAGTGCGTCGAAACCCGCAGCACAAAACTCGTTTGACTGTTGTCTCAGCCACTTCCGCACCTCCGTTTCAACCTCTAAGTCATCAGCGAAACATTTGCCACCAAGGTGGGTCTTTTTTTGCGGACCAGGTGTGAACCACTTTACGCGACAAACACTTCCCACCGTACTATGAATACTGTTTGCATTGAGTCCTTTTGCCCACAGAAAGCGCACAACAGAACGTCGCTCTTCGGTAATACACTTCTCAAGCACGTTCGCCATTTTGACTACTAAAACCAGTTTCTGAGCATGCGCATGCGAGTCTGCTACCTAGATTGTAATGAAGCTAGACTGTGCTGCTATCTAGTGACATAGAAAACCTATTACGTCAATTACAGCTGTTTTACTTCAATTTGTGACCGATTTACTGACTCTCCCTCGTACGAGTACATTCATGCCCCTAGCGGGATTTGAACCAGTAATGCCAGTGTTCGAGTAGTCCGAAACTGTGTGTTATTGACCGCGCGGCCACTATGTGTAGCTAAGGTTGATATCGAACCCGGAATAGCTCAGTCGGTATCGGTATAGTGACTAGACTACGGAATGGACAACCGAGGAAACGGGGATCAATTCCCGGCAGCAGTGAGAGGTTTCTCTTCTCCTGAGACTAGCTCTGGGGCCGACCAAGCCTCCTATCCAAGTGACACCGGGAACTCTGGCTGAGGCGTGAGGCTCACAACTGACCTCCGTCACTGCCGAGGTTAACAATGTGTGGAACTACACTTCAATTGCCGCATACGCCTTCACGGCCAAGGCGCGCAATTAAGTACAGGAGCATATTTACCTTAAACATTACATTTCATGACATAACACTGAATTAGGTACAGGTAATTTACTTTACTCAGAAACCGAATGGGGTTATTTCGAAGTGAAAGAGAGGTTGAAAAGTTCGTTAGAAATATTCTCTAGTTCAAAAATAATTAAAATTTGTCGTTTTTTTTTGTTTATTTTTGGACACAGTATGTAAACTTTATATCACTGAACAGGATGATGAAATGGAAAGGGTATGAATGGAATTGGTCCTGGTCTAATTTGGTATCATGCAAAAATTCGCTTGGAGTGACTGAGAAAAACATCGAAAAACTTCAGACAGCCAGAGTCCAGGCCAGGATTCGAGTTGAGCATTTCCCGAATACAAGCTTAGTGTTATCACTATACCAGCCTTATCAGTTCGATGCTTTCTCTCACTGAACATCCTTGACAGAATTTCCAAAACGCATAAAAATCCGCCGCCATATTTTGTTCATCTCCTCTAGGACCCAATTCTTCCGTTGTAAACAGGTCAAACACGCCGTTGTATTATTTATTATTTTTATTATCTAATTCCTGTTCCTCCCTCTGGAGCATTCGTGAAACGCCGTTTCACTTCAGTTTCTTAACCGTATGGACAATCGTTATGTTCCTTGGACGGGGGATCAGCCGGTAGCAAGGCCGTACCTACATAGGACACCATAAATACAGAATAAACGCAGACATCCATGCCTCGAGTTGGATTCGAACTCACAACCCCAGTGTCCGAACGGCCGAAGACGGTTCATGCCTTAGATCACGCGGCCACTGTGTTCGGCACGCCGTCATATGTCCCAACAATAAATAAGCGTATCTAAGAACGTCACCTTGTGGTGTCCTTACACCAAAACAAACTCCACAAACAGACCCGCGCAAAAATACAGGCCTATTTATCAATCCATAGTACAGCATCTGAAGACCGTCCACCGGGCATGTTGTTGCCGAAATTAAATTAATTACTTTAAACTTTAAGTTGCCGATCACGGTGGCCGCGCGGTCTAAGGCATGAAATGTCTTCGCCCGCTCGAACACTGGG